CACATAAAATAAAAAATTTATATCTTTATGTTTGAAGCCTGAAATGTGGCAAAAGGTTGAAAAGTTCAAGGGGGCCGAATACTTTCGCAAGGCACTGTATCTCCACAGATCTATAGCAAATTTAGCACAGATGTGCCTGTGCTAAATTTGCTATAGATCTGTGGAGATATATATGTTTTATGTAACAAACTGTACTGCATTTCTTTATACCGGTTACAGACAGAGATTGTTGAAGGCAATGAAAGAATAATTTGTTACATAGAGCATATATATCTCCACAGATCTATAGCAAATTTAGTACAGGCACATCACCTAACTGCCCTAAATGTAAAACCCAGGTTGGAACACTGTTTCACTGTCTATGGGAATGTACATATGTCCAGAGGTTCTGGTGGGAGGTGTGTAAAAAAATATCTTTGATCTGTGTAATACTGTTAGATCCTCATCCTCTCACGTGCATTTTGGGAGTCTTGCCTGTTCAGCTGCTGAACCATAGAGAAGTAGTCCAGCCTGCCCTGATGCTGGCAAGAAAGGCAATCATGACCAGGTGGGTGGGTGACAAGCCTCCCTCTCTAGCTCTCTGGGAATTACTAATAAGAGACTTGATCTCTTTGGAAAAGTTAAGATTCATCCTAAAAGGTGAGCTGGACCATTTTAAAGATTTGTGGGACAAGCCTTTGAGAGCATTAGGTTTAAAAGAGGAGCTCAGTATATATTCCTAAGCCATTATATATAACTACGCTATAATTTTTATGCCTTTAAATGGTAAACTCTGATATAGCTGCGACTGTACCTGTTTTTGTTTTCATTTTGTTTTTGTTTTTTTCTGTCGTTTTTCTTCTTTCCCCTTTCACTTTTTTTTTTTCCTTAACCCCATTCTTCATTTCTTTTTCTTACATTCATTGTTATTCTCTTTAAAAAATGTAAAAGTTTAACTATTGCTGTCTTTGCTGTGATATTTAATAAACAGAATTGGAAAAAAAAATTCTCAGCAGATGGATTTTATGATGAATTTTCTACCTTTGTCCAAGGTAATTGCCTGTAGAACCCTTTAACTCTTTTGTGACTGTCCTTTTTTGATCAGAAGAATATGCAACCCAAATAAAATTGTGGTAACAGCAAAAAGTATTTCAAAGACACTTACTTTTAACTTTCTTTCTTGACTTCTTCTTCCTACCAAAGACAAACTGCTCCAGGGATGACAAACTTTTGGTACCAATGAGACCAACGCCACCAAACAGCCTTCGTTCCGTTACCACAATAGTGAGAGGAGGATGCAGTTCAGGGTCAATGGGGAATTCCTGGAAAAAAACAATCCTCTTCCGTCAGACCACTACTGAATAACACTGGTTGATCTACCTTATGTAACCTACGCTTCCTAGTCACAGAACATCTAGCACTTTATTTTAATCCAAATGACTCGCCCTGAAACAAAAATCTAAACCTTACATAGGAGAATGTGTGGAGAAAGGAATGAACCGAACACAATCCAAAGCATACCACTTCATCTGCGATACAATGTGGTTGGCTTGGGCTTGGGAACTGGCTCACTCATCTCTATTGATGATGTAACTTATGATTGTAGAAGCAGAATGATTTCAGAAGCATACAGAAACATCTGGTCTTGAAACTAAAAAAAGCTAAGCTTTTGAAATATAATATAATATAATATAAGGCCCATGTTATCTAAACCACTTACAACGACAAAATAGTCAACTGTTTTCTTGAAGTTGGGCTTTGTCTTGTAGTTCTCAATCATGCACGAGTCCAGCTTCTCTCCTGCACACTCCATAATCACCATAGGCTGATTCATGGACAAGATGTTGAGGTTCTTAAGGTCCCGCAGGCCCCATAACAACACCTGAAAACACAGACGGATCCTTTCTTTCTCATTTTCTCTTGAGTCACTGGGCTTCTCACACAGAATCACGATCAGACTGGGCTTCACTTGTCTTGTCATAAAAAAAACGTTTTTTTATGTGTCTTGATTAAAAGGTGGAGTTGGAGTTGCTGAACTTTATTTCAAATACACTGTTGTCCAATGGTTCTTAGTTGATCAATTATATATCAGTCCATATATTGCCTAGTGCCAAGATCCACATTGCTTAGTCTTATAGTTTAGATTCCTGATTTTGCTCAAAAGATGACTTTAACAAGTTAACAAAGAAATGTCTTTTTTAAAAAAAAACTCAACTTTGAAATGGATTGCACACATGTTTTTGGAATGCAATGTTTTCCAATGGCAGTGATAAACATAATATTCATAATATGTCATTAGAAAGCATTTAAAATCTTGTATACTTAAAAATTCATCTTACTCTGCCCTTTGCTGTTATTCATACTGTACCTCTATTCTGTACGGTTCCAGAACAGGCTGAATGCCTTCTGGAATAACATATTTATCTTGGTACTCCAGCTCCTGAGGTACAATATGTTCTGGTATCTTAGGCTGTAATAGAAATTGGAAATCGTAATCGGATTGGAAACATTCAATTTGTTAACATTTGCAGAATTAAAAATCTTTAAATTCTTAAGAAAAGTTACGTGACTCTCAAAGTCCAATCAACAGGTTTGACAAACCACATTCAACAAGTTGTATCAGCTTTTGCCTTTCGTATCATGTCCATCTTTAATGATTATCTTAAACTGTAGCGCAATGTTAGTAGCAATTTTCTATCAAAGTGGGCTATTTTGTCTGAAGGGGAAATTTCAAAAATTTCAATTTTTTACAAATCTACAGAGATTATGTTTTCTACTTCAAATTAAGAGAACACCACACATTAAGAGAACAAATTACAGAGGTGTGGAGGGTTGTGTTTTACTAATAGAGATCACAGGGGACTCGAAATAGAGGCAAGTACTCAGCAGTGAGTCTATTTGAGAGAAATATGTCGAGAGAAAATTGAATTTCCCATTTGCAAGGGAAGGTTTTCTCTCCATTAAGATGGTCAGACCGTCAAGGCGTAGAATTGTCACAGACAAAATTGAATACAAGTGAAGAGTTTCACATTACTATTCAATTTAAGACGTGGCTGCCAAGAACTTTCTTGCCTCAGCATAAACAATAGAATGATTTCTGTTCAAAACAAGAGCAAATCTAAAATATATTGTCTATATTTATGAAATACATATTTAAAGCGAATTCATTTAATAAATATAGCTGGATGCCAGTTTGTACTGATAAAAAATTAAAACTTTTATTTTCATTTCAGCCTGCAGGTCACGGTGGTAGAGTACTGTACCTCTCCAAATGAGGAATAGTCTAGCTCAATGAACTCCACCACTGCCAGCAGTTCTCCAGCATGTCTCATTCCCCTAGTGATGTCAAAGATGCGCAGGCTTGGCTGCACATACTCATCGCCTTCCAGAAAGACCACAGGAACTATGAAACATTGCCCCAGGTACTCTGGACTGCCCTGCCATAGACACACATTCATATTTAGTACGTAATTTCAATATATTTTGCAATACATTTGCTTTTGTAAATGCTAATACTAATAGAAATCTACTTATTTAGTCAAATAACCTATGATTGGTGGCAATGAAATCTACTTACAAAATAATCTTGATCATATATCTCGACACAAACAGAAGGTGGATCACTTTGGAAATCCTCCCTGCTTCCTTCTATCAGAATGTGATCAAATATCAAAGTCTCACCCCATGTTGGAGACAGTGTCTCTTCAATCACCTGATAAAAACAATCATGTTAATTTTACAAGATAAACTCACTCCTACAGCTACAACACAAAAATGTACAGGAAGAGAAGCAATGAACAAATGGAACGAATTGCCGTTTTACTGATCTTTATTTTTTGTGACTATTCAATCTGAAGTTTCTACATTTTTTTTGCTAATTAAAAATGAATCAATAAAATTGCAGATTTTTATCAGCTCATTACTAGGTTGAATGGCATATATGGACATAATAATATTAGCTTTCTAAAAGTCAGTTCTCTGTGCCTCTCTAGTAAGGAAAATGTTATAAAACACCTAGGATAATTTTGACAGCAACAGTCTGTTTTAGTAAAAATGGGTTTATGCTGGACTGAAATTTGAGGATGATCTGAAGACCATTTGTGGGGTTATGACAAAGAAATTTAAATTACTAAATAATCAACTACATAATCAGTAGTTGGTCAAATCAGTACTCAGTGATCAGTTCTTATTTGGATTTCTGTATTACTGTTAATTTGAGTTTGACAATTTGTCTTTTATATGGAACGTTATCAAGGGCTTTGTTGAGGTATAAATTAATGCACCTTAAATTTATCCATTACTCTAGTTGCCTTTTCATCATTGGGCTTTCACCCTAAGGGTATTGAAGAGCTTCCCACACAAACCAGCCAGTCTGAAAGTTAACCTGCAATCCACCTGAAGCTGTCAGAGTCTTCTGATCCCACATCTGAGTCAGGACCTTATCACCAGCTGCTTGGCTGCAGACAACTTATGCAGCAATCTCTCTGATCTGCCTGGCTGCGCAGCCTTTCGTCTGTACCGCCTGACTGTGTCTTCTGCTCTGCCTATCTACCTTGTGCATCCACTGCCTCCCCTGTCTTCTTGCTTTCACCCAGAACCAGCGATTGGATTCCTTAGCCTGTCTCACAGTTGGAACATTCTCCAGGTCAGTGCAGCATCATCACATATCCTACATTTTAATGTACATTGAGATTACCTTTCTAATTTTGCTCATTTTTCAGGCAACCCTGGTAAGACCAATCAGTTGCAATTGTTGCAATTATTTGGTTCATTTTTGTCTCTAATTTTGAAATAGTATTAATATGCATGATCAAATTCATTTTTTGAACTGTTATATATTTTCTTAGAAAAATGACTGTTAATGTAAACCTGGTGATTTATGAATTAACAATTGGTCACCAATGTATGGGTAAACAATTGATTACCAATATATTGCATAGAACATACTGTGGTCAGCTGAGACCTCTAGACCACAAAAAGTTTTGTGGAAGCAGCCTGGCAACCATCTGTTAACTGCTTCCTAGGCATTATTTTGGTCAAATAACCTATGTACTATTTTGGCCTGTGGTGTACTGCAAGTGGGGATTAAGTACAGTAGCTGCAGCTTCAATACACCAGAAAAAAGTTAAAATTCTGATTACATGTCCCTCTTTTTCTGGCATGCTGCTGTGATGGACAATGCAATTTCTCTGCAACATATAATTCCAATTATTCTTTATTCCTACAGGCCTGCATCAATACTTAATACCTGACATCCTGCCTCCATCATACAGTGGCATCAACTTTACAAGACTTCCAGGAGACTCAACACAGCTACTTGCAAGTGGACTAATAACTCATCCCTTTGCACACTCTTCAACTCAAAGCTGGTTAAGGAGACTGCTGTTTATTTCTTCTCTATAGGCAGTAGCCTACCTGAACTGTTGTGACAAATACATCAGAAGACATATGATGTATAAAGTCTTATGGAACAATCAAGGGAGAATTAAGAAAAGGAGGGAAATTCACAAAGAAAGGGATTCACTTTATGGCTTATGCCTATACTGACTCAGATAAACAAAACATATATTTTTTTGCACCTACCTTGGTAGACTGGGAAAAGGCAGAAAATGTTACTTTTGCGAAAGGGTCAGCAAGTCCATTTTCATCTGCTGCCAGCAAACCGCGTGCCTGGTAGAAATGTGCTCTCATTTGGAAAAAACTCTGAACTGATAAAAACAACCAGGAAAGCAGCTATTAATTGTGGTTTCTGTCATGTCAAGAGATAACAGAATGTCTGGAATTTACACTGTCCATTCAATAGGTGGGCCTTATTTTTCCCTTCATACCACAACTAAGGACATAATATAAATGATTATTTGGGTTAATATAAGTTTTATAAACTGTCAGCAAGATCAGCGTGTAAATAACAGGCCATGGGTTCAATTTATTCCCCGGGTTTTAAATTAATTACATTTATGCTGCTGCCTTATCGAACATTCATTAACTAAGAAACTAAGAGAATTAATCGCTGGTAAGATTCAGTGATCAGTTGAGATAATGAAGAAGCTGTAAAGAACACAGGGAATGAAACTGGAAATAACTACCCTCAGTGATGAGATTGCTTGGCAATGTGATGCCTGAAATGACTGATTCCTCTTCCTCATTATTGATATTAAATCCAGCTGGAAGGGTGACGATGGCGTTCTTTGCATATTTAGAGGGTCCGAACCACAGGCTAATTTCCAATCTTGCCATAACTCTGCTCTCGAGTCCAGGTGTCTGAATAAAAGGACAAAAAATACATAAAAACAACAACTCTAATTTTCAGGAAATTAGGAAAGCTACATTTCCTGAAAATCGTCTTATTCCCCCTGCTCTTATTTTCTCATTTTACCCCCTGCCCATGAAATGTTTTGAAAATAAGGATTTTGAAACAAGTTTTTTTTTATGTTATAACAGCTGTAATAATTCTTCAGTGCATTCTTCTCAGCTTATACCTGAAGCTTTTCTTACATTCTACAGTTAATCTTCAGACATAAACAGAGTTACAGGCTCGAAGTTGCTGACTCTCAAGATGTTTTTACTAAAAAATCTCTTACTTTGAGAAACACAGTTTGTATCTGTCCACAGTCTTTTCCTTTTTCTTGCTTGGCAACAGAAAACAATATAGTGTGAGCAGGGATCCGTATATAGGCAACTCTTTTGTTGTTGCCGAACATCCAAATGAACACATCAGGAATTACATTCTGTGACTGAAACACAAAACAAATACATTCAAATACAATGTATTTAGTTAACTGTGATGTTCTAAGTGAAGTGCAAATTAGACACATCTTTACTTAGAATTTCATTCATCAAGATGGGTGACAGCATTAGAAAAAATATTAATATTCAAATCTGAGGCACTTTTCATTTGACACAAACCAGGCTTTCTTTAAAATGAAATGGCTAGCTTGCTCTTTTGTCATGTCTTGTATAGATGAGGTTAAATGATGAAGTCACATTTTCATTACTAGGTTTTTCCACGCTGTATGACAATGCCTCCATGCGTAAACACTTCATTTATAGTAAGAGAGAGATCACTTTATTGGCCATATACTGTACAATTTCTTGTATTAGGTATTTGACTTTTTGCGTACCCCAACTTGCTCTCCATGAGACACACAGACAGGGAGAGAAGCTTGGGGTCAGAGCGCAGGGTCAGCCATTTATACAGCGCCCATGGAGCAGTTGGGGTTAAGGGCCTTGCTCAGGGGCCCACCGGAGTAGGATTCCCCTGCTGGCCGCGGGATACAAACCGGCAACCTTCCAGCCACAGGCGCAGATCCTTAGCTACAGAGCCACCGCTCTGCACCAATTCATGACATATCACCTTGGAGAATGACTTTCTATGCTCTGATGAGCTCCTACTCAGGCTCTGTTATAAAGTCTGGCGTTTCCTTCAAAGAACATCAACATGTGAATCAATGTCCAAAGGACAGGATTTACATTTCCATCAGAAAAACTTACAAAGGCACATCGAATCTCATTCCAGTAGTCACATTAGCCTCCTGTAGATGAATCTGGATGTTTCTGGGAGCTAGACATAGTTGTATCTCCTGCTATCAATTCAAAACTGACACCAGTCTAAGATATCCATGAATTGTTTCTGCAGTTTGCTTATTGATTTGGAAACAACTGTAGAGATGAATTACTCTTATTAAAATTGTATTTGTTGTTGGGTGGATGTTAAATGTCAACTCTGTGGAATGTCACAAGAGATCCAAGTTGCTTTACAGCATCTTCTGAGATCATAAACAGTTACTCTGTTACTCCGTGCACATTAAAACCCCATGGAATGTGTGAAATTGAGAATCATTTTAGGATTGAGCGTTGCTCATCTTATTTTAACTGTAGCATCACAATGTCATTCCTAAGCATTAATTCCAGAATGGTTTCACACCTTATTTAATGGAAAAGCAAAATATTTCCTGTAAACAGTGTATTCAGGAGACTGTGCTCCATGTGGCACACCAGCTCAGTCTAGTGGTCTCTCAAGTTGGTCTCTTCTGGTTACTCACAGACATTCTAACTAAAAGCTAAATAGTACATTTTAATTTGATATATTGATGTGAAGTGTGTACTTTAACAATAAATGTAAGAACCATATGACAACCTTCTTAAACAGTTTTTGACCTAAACAATTTCAATATTAAATTTAAGTATTCCCGTTATCTAATTTTGATCTCCGTTCCAGTTTGGTCTTTAACTTTTTAAATATTTCCTACAGATCCTCTTTTTAAAATTATATTTAGTTCCTCTTACCTTTTTCACAGTATATAGTCAAATTTAATGCATTGTAATTCCAATTTTCTTTATCATTGTGCTGTGTGCATGCTCTCACATTTGGATTTCACACACCTTTTTATGGAATCAGAACACATAATGCATATGTTTGTCATTTCTTGGTGATTTCTTTAAAAGTATTTTTAATATAACTGTAAACTCAGTGTTATAAGTTCATTAATATAATAGCAATAGTAAAATTCAGTATATAAGCTGGACTGTGACAAACACACAGAACAGAGCTACAACACAATTCCACTTTTTCTAAAACCCATGCCTATCCATTTCTCATTTTCATTTCAATTAATTAATCATTTAGGACTTGATCACAGCTTCAACAACCACAACCACACAAAAGGTACTCAAAATGTCAGACTGCTGCACATATGCTTACTTCTTCAGACCTCTGCTTAAGCTCTTTTAACATCTCTTTCATCTGGAGGACAATCTCACCAATATTTTCACTGTGCAAACACTTCTTAAGCTGGGTTACTTCCTCATGCAGTTTCTCCTTCAAAATAACAACAAAAAAATGTAAACCATAAATGAAAACCTTCTGTTGTCTGGGAAGGATATACTATGAGTTCATAAGTAATGAATTCACATATTTTACTAACGTCAAAGATCTTTCAGCTGTCCTGTCCCAATATAGATACTTTGCATATTTGTATAAAGTGTTTGAAAAACATTTCACAAATATTTTTCAAATTAAATATGATTCACCTTTGATTTTTATACTTTATGACATATTGTAATCGTCCATTAAAATTAAGTGAATAAGTAATACTTTAAGCTGAAGATCTACCAGTGTTCCCCCTTTTTTCTCAAGGATTCAGGAACAAGAGTTGCAGCATAAAAGAAGACAAAAAGCAGCAACCGAATTCTGATATTTGCACAGTAGTGTCTAAACAGTAAAACAATTAAACAGAACTACATTGCAAAGTCCTTTAAATGGATTTTGGATCATACACTTCTTAAGTGTATAAATATGGCATGTGCAATATTTTATAAATTAATAAAGTATTATCATCATGTAAATGGTATTATATTCTCTTTTGGCACTTTTTAAGAAAAGTCTTCTTTAGTATTGCAAATGAAAGGTGGCAATTTAACCCATAGAGTTTATTTGGATTTTAGCAACCAAGTGATACAAGAGTCTTAGGATCTTCTTCTGAAAGAAATTGCATACTGTACTTGCTTTAAAAACATGTTTGAATAGTTTGCTCTAGACTCTCAGAACCCTTTCTTTGTCACCTGTTCTCTGTTTTAAATCCACTGCTCGTAGGTTTTCATTTGTGTCCTCTGGTTTATGTTTTGCTGATACGTCTGAAGAAATTAATAGGCTGTCACAGCAGCACATTCCTTTGTGTTTGGGAAAGTACCTGGATGATTTTCTCCTGACTAATTCCAGAGGATCAATACCTTTTTTTGTATGATGGTGACCAAAACTAAACATAAAATTATAAAAGAGGCTTTAGTAGTACAATACCATCCCTTGAATTCCACACTTTTAAATAAGTATCCAAATATTCAGTCTCCCTTTTTATTTCTTTCCTACATTGTCTAGATCAAATGATGTCCAGATTTTCATAGTGTCATTTAATATTTAAATGTAACACTCTGCACTTAAATCATTACATAAAATGTAATCTGTCATATATATGCTAAGTCAGTTCTATTACAATAGATACCTGCATCTTTTGTTTTATAGAAAATATATAAACTATTGAATACTTAATTTCCTTTGCAGCTTCTAGTGTTTGCTAGTCCTCATGTTTTGGTATTCATGAGAGAATTTCATTACTATACAAATGGCACCAGAATCTAGATCGCTTACTGTATATTATAACATCATTACATCACTTTATTAACCCTTTACAATTTCTTGCATTAGGAATTATCTTTTCGCATACCCAACGGAGTAGGATTCCTCTGCCGGCTGTGGGATTTGAACCGGCAACCTTCCAGCCACAGGCACAGATCCTTAGCCACAGAGCCACTGCTCCGCCCAATTGTAGGTAAATTAAGAAAAGCAGTGGTCCTAGTACAGATTCCTATAGTACTCTGCTAATCATATCGTTCCAGCTGAAGCACTCACACCTTATCTGTAGTCTCAGTATCCTATCCATTGGTCAGTTTCTAATTCAAGCAAGTGATTTCTTGAATGCCTAACAGCTGATGTTTAAGAATATTAAATCTAAATATACCATATAATGGTGGTTAGTATGGTTAGTATGTGTTACTGCTGTCAGTAAACAAGTTAGTTAAGCAAGACCTTCTTTTTCTAAAGCTTCTTTTCATGATGACTACAATCCCATTTCCATACAGATGATCCTCTAGCTTAGTTCTAATTATCATTTTCATACTCTTACATTTAATAGAAAAGACAAAGACTTTTTGAATTAGTTATTAAACTGTCTAAGTATCATATAACTCCCCAACCCACACATAAAACATAGAAAAGAGGTTTATACAGTATCCAAATGTTAATCTATGCTAGAGAATATGACAGCAAAATTATTTTCAGTACTGAGAACACATCAGTTCTGAGAAAGTAGCATAAAACTAGTCATACAATAGTTCTTTTTAATATATCGTGTTTAAGATACTTACAATATAATGAGACATTGACTTTTGCCTTCCACAATCTAACGCATTTGGTCTTGTCATCACAACTTTGTCCAGATAATTAAGGTATCGTCTTGCGTTCCAAAAGATGCAATAGAAAAAATTAGAATTGTATGTATTCTTGTTGTATGAAAAATGTTTGTATCAGAGCTTTAAAATTCAAGTTAATTACAGGAAAAGCTTACCGCAGATCTGCAAGCTAAATTAAAATCAATACTGTCAAATATTTTTGAATTAGGATTTACAAGTTGAATGTACTTATCCATCTCTTTGATAAAGTACGATAACGGCTTAGAGACGAGTGAACAATTTCAAGACCTAGATTTACTGAGCCTGAAAGTTGGAAAAATTAATTTCTGAAAGTTTTGTAAATATCTAATTGTTATCTAAATGTATCTAAATGTATTTTATGCAGTTTTATGCTATTGTTTATTGTAGATTTGATATATCTTGAAATATTAACAAAAATATCAGTATTAAACAATGCATATTAATGACAAAAAATGGCAATATATGTAGCATGGCTCACAGAAAGACAATAGTTACAATTTCTTTAAAATCTGAAACTATTGAAAAAAATTAACTGCTTTCGTATTCAATTTTAAAAACATCTTAAAAAAAACATCTTCAGAGAAAAGGCCGGAAAAAAACACCTGCATGTGATCTTCAGGGCTTCAAAGGCATGTTGTAACCTTTGCTCTGTACCCGTTTTCTCTTTCTTTAGCATTTGCTCCACTGTATTGAGGTCTTCCTCCTGAAAAGATAGCAAGACAAAAGACAAAATGTGTGAATTTTTCCCATACAGATTACAAAACATATTTTTATGTACGAGTATACAGCTTGTTAAAGTCCTTAAACCATACGTTAACATTATATTCATCCAAGATACTGTTTTCAAAGCAATATTAACAAAAAAGATTGGGGGTTATACAAGTCTTTACTTTATGTTTCAATAGTGTTCTGATTGATAAAAGAAAACAGACCTATGGCTACTTACATTGCCCTGGTCATGCTCTCTACCAATTAAAAAGACGTACAGGACAGTCAACTCAGGTCAGAAAATGACAAATTATTTCTCTCATACAGAAAGGATGATATGCCTTTTGCAACACTAGCTCATCGGAGCTTAGTGAAAGGATGAAATTCCTATAAATGTCATAAAATACGATATTATTTGTGATTGTAAGTAGTTATTGGAGCTACAGCTGATGCAGGTGCTCCACTTTTACAGTATGTGTACAACTACGATCATTTCAGATGTGTAGGACTTCAGCTGCAGCAAATATATATGTTAGGAATACATCACATATACTGTAATGTCCATAAGAGTGAACTCACCAGCACTTGCGATACCTGCTGAAGGGCATTTACATTGTAGAGTCTCCAGCTTTGGTCTTCCCATCTACTCCACAGGTGTAGACAGGGTTTTTTTTCCTTGAAAGGGAGGCAGTAGTAGGAGCTGCAAGGGAGTTACAAAGATAAGATGGAGACAGAGTTTTAATTTGTTCACAATAATTTTTCAAAATAAAGATTTCTAGATTTAATTGGCTAAAATGAAAATCGGATGACACAGTAAGCGATAATCATGTAAATATTTGATAGGGCCAACAAAGGGTTAAAAGTTCTATTTCACTTTGAAGTATTTTTAAACGAATTGCTCTTAATCTCTTTGGTTTCATTTTATACACGGGGAAAAAACTCACTTTAATTCACATAAAGAGCAGTAATGAGTCAACAAAGTAAATTAGTTGTTTCAGCCTTTAACACACATTGAGATTTGTGTGAAACAAAGTAATTTAAATAAAACTGTCAGGTGTATTTCACTGCAATTATGTTTTATCTTCTTCTTTTAATTAGATTGCATTTTAAATTAAAACATTTGGCACTGATGGGAACACAAGACTAAACTAAAATATAACTAGGCATGCATTTTTCTTTTAGATGCATACTAAACAATCCTTGAGCCTCATTTAGTACTGCTCAACAAGGAACAGTAGGCTGTTAATAATATTTTAATATGGTTTCATTAGCTGATATTTATTTACCCTATGGAACAACTGCATGATATCTTCAGCAAAGAGGATTGGAAGGAGGATACGGTTATAGCCATCTGTTTAGACTAAGGACTGAACTTTGGGAAATTCTGATTTTATCACCGATATCCAGACAACATGACCAACCCATGGGATGATGATAATCATAGTTTCAATAACTGTGATGTTTGTTTGGAAGAGAACACAGATGTTGCTACATCTTTCCTCTCTTTTACAGAGGAGATTTTTTACAAAAAAAATCCTTCACAAACAGCATTGGTGATACAGGTCCAGTCCTTATTCCTGGCTCCTATATCCTGTGCATACCTCAGACCAGTATTAGGATAGGAATGGTGATTGTATAATAGACCATTAGTCTAGTTTCAGTTTTTAATGATTTGATCCTAAACACTTCCTTAGGTTCACAAAGGCTACACTTGCCTATTTTAGGAGACATTGGATTTGTTCATCACTATTATCAATTAATATCTGCGGAAGATATCTCTTAAGGTGCAGGACGTATTCCATATACTCTTAACTTCTCATTGTGAATCTGAGTTGATAACACTGGGGAGTATGCATTTAGAGTTTGCTGAAGGATTTGGTCTTCCTCATCTTAAGAGTAGTAAGTCCTATTGTCCTATATGTGCCTGTAAATATGTTGACAACTATCTAGGGATCCATTTCTGTTGAGGAACATTCTGCAGCACCATCAGCAGACTGGAGCTTATTGACAGAAGTCAGGGTGGTTTTAGTTGTACACCGAAGTCATTAGAGATTAAATAATTTACTGTCCTTTCCGTAAGTGAGCTGCACTGGGGAGTGGGGAGCTTGTTTGCAATGAAATGGAGCATGGCACTCAAAAATGTTGAAAATAGAGCTGGAAGGATGACATAGACTCGTTCAACTCCTGTCTAGACTTCTAGGTTCTATGTAATTGATGTTAGACTCCAAGCTCCGAAAGAAGGTTACTTTCTCCCAGGATAGCCAAGGTACTCAGAGCAGAGGAAGCTGCATTTTAAGTTATGGTAAATGCAAACATGGAGAAATGTAGCATGGTTTATGTCAACATCGATATTAACACATGCAAGATTCTAATATTTGACCAGAATTAGAAGGAAAATATGTTGAAAAGTTTTAGTGTCTGAATGAGAAAGCAGGAACATTGAAGAGAGTTCATCTTGACTGGTTAGTGCAGTAAATGATTAGGTGTAAGACAACACGAGTTCAATTTGCAATATACTGGATCATAAACTGGTCTTATCAATCACCTTCACATTCATGGAACACAGTCTTCCTTGGTTGTCACCAATAACCAATATTTATATTTCCATTAAGGTCTAAGGCTACTATGTCCAGTAAGGCTTGTTTTTCAAATTGCCCAAACCTCCATTGTTATTCATTTACATAAGGAGTATAAATCATATAAGAGCACTATAATCAAGCCTTAAAAGTTTCTAAATTTACAAATGAGCAAATGACACGTATGGGTAATAAGCATTATGAGACCTATGGGTATAGATTAAAAAAGAAAACTCTGCACTGGACATGCAGTGAATCATAAAAAGCATTCTAATAACCCAATAACCAGTCTAAGTATCTTTCTGAAAATTACTGAGTGGTCCATTCCTTGAAGACTGCCCAATGTTAATATTGTTTTTCACCAGAACTTCAGAAGGAACTAGGGGTAGGGTTAATCTTAGCTTGATGACACCTGACTGCTGACATCACTATATATGTATCCTGTGTAGATGAGGGGCCAAATTCCGCCAATATTTATATAAAATATTCATATTTCCTGGTTAAGGTTTAAAAAAATATTGTGCATTTTCCATTTTTCAATGGAAAACAAGAATTGTTTGCTAAGTTTTTTATCAGGCCAAGAATTTAAATTTAAAATAGACAATCTGTGACTTAATTAGGTCAACATGCACAGTGAACCGCCAGTTAGTGAGAAGCACCTTTCGTATTCCGTTTCCACTGGTACAGAGGGAGGGGTGATGCAGGCACTCTGTGTGACTTCTTCTTCTTCCACAACTTCCTCCACAGGGTCCGGTTCTATTAAGACTGAGGTCTCATCAGGTTCCTCTTGAGTCGCTGCTTTTTTTGCGGTTACAGGAATTCGAGATGTGCCCTCTTCACGTTTCCCATAATTCCCTGGCTCCAAACACAAACGTTTTTCAGAGACAAGTCTTGGTTTGCTACAGTAACGTCTTCTACTGTCTAGTTAGAAGATCAAATGGAAGGGCTTGTGAGCACCACCAAAAGTTCCACTTCTTCTACCACACCAACTTCAAATATATATATTCTTTGCATCACTAATGTTAACATAATACAGTAAGTGGATATTTTTCCTATAAGCTCCCAATGCTTGCTGGGGAAAGCCAAACCCATTATATTTAAAACATAAAGATGTTAACTGCCTAAAGTGCATGCAACTAAAAAGCGAACATCTCCATACTTCCAAAAGAAATGAAAACACATGACCTAAAGAAAGTATAAGAAGAAGTAGCTCACTAGTGACCTTTTTATATTATTGAACATATCTAGAGAGGTTTGGGACATATTATCTGAATAATAAAATACATTTCTCAGTTTCACGCTGACAGAATGAAACAAACAAAAATACCAAGAATCTACTTTTGTCTGGTGCAATAAAAAAGCTGAAGTCTTACTTTTTAAATGCTTACCTATTGAGAGCTCAAAACATATGGGTTTCAGACCCAAACTTTTTTCAATCATGGTTGCCTCTAAGAAAGTCGCTAGAAGAAGAAAATCTTTTTTCTTCCCAAAAATGTCCTGAAAAAAAATTTGAGTGCAATATTTGGAGATATGTTTTATTTATGATTGTTACATATACCAAAAGAAAATAGGAAAACGTCATGGGTCGCTGTTTTTACTCTAATTTCGGAAGACATACTGTATTTGTTATGATAGACTTCACCTAGCCAATACAAAACACCATTTAAAGCGATTTATTTCAGCTTGACCGCATAGTGCTACAGTGACCAAACCCTGGGACTGCACTTGCTTCCCTTTCTGCACGCTCACCATGATGTGACAAAACCTGTCTTCTAGTTAGCTGAGAATTTAACCTCTCAGCCCTTTTGAAAATGCGTGACATCTAGGGCTCAGGGACCAATGATCAGGCGCATACTTGTCCAGACAGTTTAAAATAAATGAACAAATCCCAAAAGACAGTATCTGCAAGCTGGTTCAAAGTGTGTGACATACTGTACATCTTATATTGCTTCCATCAATAGAAGGAGGGAATCTGTGATTTTCCTTATATAAGGAAATGTTAATTTAAACAATGTTTAGGATCACTATAGATTCTTTATTCATAGGCTTTCAAAATTGGAAAAACAAAAACAAAAAACCCTTACATCTAAACAACACTTTTCAATATTAGGGATACCGAAGTGCTGTATACATACAACGCACTTTATCCAACTGTAGTGCCAACCAGGCAGATGCATGTCAACCGTTATGCACTAGGCAACAGCTCAAATGAGTGCTTATAAAGTTAGTTGAAATATTATTTTGTTGCAGAACTGTTAATGAAATCTGTGAGGCATGGATCAATGAATTCTGATAAAATATTTCCAAGGACATGGGAGCACATACCAGAGGGTGCTACTGTACATCTTATTTTTGTAACACCATTTGCACTCATGATAACACAGGTGCCAAGATGTCCACAGTAACTGTCAGTAGGAATATGTTCCAATTGCTTGTGTTTCTCTGTGCCGTGGTCTGCAGTTTTCAGGACAGCCAGAATAGTTCAACAAACTTTAAGAAACCTGTATTTT